TTCTATGACAGCGACACCAGGGAGCATTGTCACATGGGATGTTAAATCGGCTGCCATCTGGGGTAAGATCTTATCTGCAGATCCAGGGCAGAGGAGCAGAATTAAGAGGAGGGTCCCAAGTCCAAGGCCGAAAGGAAGCCACAGAGAGAGACCTGGGCAGAGAAAATGGGCAGAGGGATTTGTAGAAAAGTGGGGTCAGAATCCAAGCGTTAGCACCACAGCTCACAGCCCAAAGAGCAGTGGGTTCCCGAGGAGGAAAATAGTGTCTCTCGGGTCAGCTCAGAGAGAGTCAGAACCACACAGCTGTTTCAGCCCAGCTGTGTGTGCTTGGGACTGGCCTGCGTCCCTAGCTTGTGCCCACCCCATCCCCACCTGGGACAAGCTCTCCCTCTCCTGGGTGGTCTCAGCACAGCCTCATTCCCACCGGTTCTAATCTCTGTGAACATCAGAATCACTAGTAGAGCTTCTTTTTTCTCTCTGTCTCTTTTTTAATCCTTTAAGTAGATGCATAGACACTCAGTACAAAATTTAAAAGGTATGAAATGCTCTGAAAAGCAAGACCCCCTCCGGCCCCTGCTCCCAGCCATCCAGGTCCTTTACTAAAGCGACCACCGTGCGGGATTCTGACAGGGCAGTGTGCGCACACACAGCTCAGAGGGTGCAAAGGGGAGCGTGCTCTGCCTCCTGCTCTTCGCCTTTTTAACTCCACAGTAAATCTTGGGAGACAGTTCCACACCAGTTCGCACAGCCCTTTCTCGGTCTTTTTGAAAAGACACAGTGTTCATTGTACGGCTGGACCACAGTGTAAAACATCAGGCCCTTTTTGGGCATGTGGCTTGCTTCTGCTCTTTGCTATATTGCCTGTCCTCACGGCCGCTCCATTCCATAGGACTTCATTTCACCTATCCCCGGAGAGGAAATTCTTAGAAGTGAAATGACTAGGTCAAAGGGCAGCTGGTGACTGCCAAATTGTACAGGTTACACTCCCCGTGGCAAAGTATGAAAGAACCTTTTCCCCAGCGGGACTCCAACAAAAATACACAGGAGCCCCGGCCCCAACTCGGCATCTGTGGGTGTGGGGCCGGGGCCCCTGTGCTGTTGCTCAGAAAGAGGATCTGAGCAGGAAGCCCCCTTGGGCTCCTGCCCACCCCCAGCCTCTCCCTTCCCGAAGGGATTTGCCGCGGTGAGGCAAGCGTGACCTCCAGGCCCGACAGGCTCAGCGTCTCCCAGGCTTCAGAGCTCGGCATTCGTGTCGGGGTGATGCCAGCAGGGGAGCTCACGGGGTCCTGACTGGCAGGTCTCCTGTCCCCCACTGTAATCCAAGTGTCACCCTTGTTAGCTGGGGACTGGAGCACAGGCCTTGCTTGGTTACAACCATGTGGACATCATATGGAGACATTTTGGAATAAAACAGGGAGAAATGGAAATGGTTAGAAGTGGCGATGTAACTGAGGGATTTTTTTTTTTTTAATATGTAGTCTTTTTATAATATTGACATTAAGACCAACAAATAAAACTACCAAGAGCTGGAACCACAACACAACCCATTTCCCCGCCAGGGTCCTCTGATGTGGCATTTTTGTGTAATTGTTCTGTCTGTCACCCTCAGGAGGGTCCAGGGCTGGGAGGCACCCACCTGGTAGGTGCAGGCCTGCCCCACCCTCTGCTGTTCTGGGCGAAGCTCTGAGGAGACGTGACTAGACCAGCTGCCTTGCCGTCACATATTCCTGCCAAGCTGGGCGGTGGAATCACCTTTATTCTGTAAGAACTATTGTGATCAACTCTGCCCATGGGTGGACCTCTTCGGCATGGCCCAGGCCCACCTTGGGGCCTGACACTGAGTGGACACTTAATAAAATAGTAGAGAGAGAGAAAGCGAGGAAGTGGGAAGGGTACCCATGTGGTATAATTTAACAAACCCTGGGGACTTGGCACACCCAATACCCCCTGCTACCTCTCACGGAGCCTGACATTCTCAATTTTCCTGATGCTGCCAGCTTGATGGGTCTGTCACCTCTTCAAAACAGGCATCCATCATTGATGCACTCAACAAATATTTACTGAGCACCTACTGTGTGTCAGGTACAGTTCTAGGTACTGAGACTATAGCTGTGAATAGAGCAGTCAAAAAATTACACTTTTGCCCGAGCTGGTTTGGCTCAATGGATAGAGCATCAGCCTGCGGACTGAGGGGTCTCAGGTTCGATTCCAGCCAAGGCCCCATGCCTGGGTTGTGGGCTTCATCCCCAGCGGGGGGCATGCAGGAGGCAGCCAAGCCATGATTCTCTCTTATCATTGATGTTTCTATCTCTCTCTCCCTCTCTCTTCCTCTCTAAAATCAATAAAATATATATATATTTAAATCACACTTTTAAAGTGTGAACTTTAAATTTTTTGGGGGGTGACAAACAAAGAATGTATGAGACATTTGTATTTATAATACACATCTTGTAGTATCTACAATGAGGATAACTGCTAGAGAGGACAGAACAGCAGGGAGGAGAGTGAAAGAGGCAGGTGAAGAATTCAGAGAGGACAGCCAGGGAGGCCTCCCTAAGAGTGACAGCCGAGGAAGGACCTGAGAGGAGAGGAGGGAAGCCATGCAGGCAGGTGGGAGAGAGTGTTCTGAGAAGCAGGAACAGGCGCAAAGGCCCTGGGGTAGGGCCTTTGGTTTCCTGTTACTCATTTTTTTCTCTTGATCTGGATCACAAGGCAGGGAGATGTGTTATATGTCTCTAGAAATGATTCTGAGTATCTTTTGCTCCATGCCCATTTGTACTCTTGAATAGACATTACCTATTGTAAATAATAATAATAATAATAATTCAGTGTATGCCTACGGAGGACACCCAGCTTAGAGTTGGTCACGTAGCAGGTTTCACTAATTATTTGCTGTTTGGATATTTGATAGGAATATGTTTAAAATATCAAGGTCCTTTTTTTAAAGGTTTGTTAATCCCATAGTTTTACTTGACAAGAATCGAACCCGGGACCCTTCAGTCCAAAGGCCAAGGCTCTATCCACTGAGCCAAACCTGTTAAGGCCATTCCAGACCAGTTTTAACTGTAGAATTCCCACCATAAGCTGGGCCTCAGGTTCCCAGTTCTGTGAGGTGTCGGCACCTGTCACCTTTTTTTTACTGGCTCCCTCCCGCTCCCCAACAGCTCCTCCCCTAGAAGAGCAGAATCCACGGCTTTTGTTGTTGTTTAGGGAAGCACTTGTGAGGTTTTCACACATGAAAACCCAGGGGTATCGTCCACCATGGTATGAAGTGTGGGTGATGAGAGAGAACCGAGTTGCAAGAAAGGGTTGACAGACTCCTGTCCTCTTGCTGGTTGGCTCACCCGATGCCTCTGTGCCATCCATTCGGCTGTGCGCCCACAGGTGCCAGCAGGAGGTCACACAGCACTCAGCCAGCCCTTCAGAACACATGTGTGTTTCCTGACCCGCCGAAGAGCACATTGGATGGCCCCTCCAGTTTCATAGGAACATTGTAAGAAAGGAAGGAAAACTAGCTGAGATGTGTGTGGTTTGGGGAGGTCCCTAATCCATGTGGACAGTGATGAGGTTTCTTCTCTGCAGAGTCCTAGAGAGCAGCCTGGAACGGGGACAGGAGGGAACGGGGAAACTGAGGCAGGAGGGAGGGCCGGGCCAGAATGAGAGGCGGACATTTTCGGCTGAGCCAGAGAACAGGTCAGAGGTTGTTGGCAGCAGATGGGTGCGTTTGTTGCCAAGTGCGGGCGCAGAAAGGTGCCCGGTGCATTTGGCACTCGGCGGAGATGCTGGCCGGGGCGTCTTCCCGCAGGCGGGGAAGATCCGTGCGGGGGAAGGTGCCGGCCCACCGCTGCTCCGAGGGGGGCATTTGAAAGTGCATGCCGTCTTGTTGCCATGCAGTTGGACACAGGGCTCCGGAAAAGGCAGATTCCTGTTTTTCAACATTTGGTTTAGAACAATGGCCGGTGCACAGCGTGGTTGTAGGCACGGTGAGCCCTCAGTGAACGTTTACAGTTGAAATGATCCTCGGATTCAAAATAGGAATTTCAAAGCCCACCCCGGTCGGCAGCACCCCTTTCTCTGCATGGTGTTCGAGGTTCCCCCTGTGCAAGGCCTGCACCCAGCAAACCGCTGAGATTGGTTGTTTTTCTTTCTCCTTCCCTCCCACTACCCCTGCTCTGGAGCCACCTACAGACCTCCTGTCACTCCCCCTCTCCCTCATCCCCTGGAGCCTAGGCATGGGGGAGGTCTCATCTCAGCCAGTAAGGGGGGAGGGGGGCCTAATTGTCTTTCTCCTTCCGTCACATTGATGAAGAGCTCAGTTTCTCCAGGTCAAACCTGTGTCCCCTGGGCTGTGGGCTGCGTGGCCCGTGGGCTGAAGGCTAGTTTAGCCAACTCTGGCCGGCCCGGCACAGCCCAGGTCATAGTGACATCCACTGGCTTCCAGGCAGGCACAGGGCCCCAGGAAAGTAAATCCGCTCAATAGCCCAAGTGGAAAATGTCACTATGACCTTTCTGTCAGTGCTTTTAAATACGGGCTTTTAAAAAATTATTTTTTTTTTTTTATTGTTCGGCAATAAAACCTCTCCCTCTCACATCTCTTCCCAGCTTCGTTCCACAGGGTAGCAGTGTCCTGTGATCCCTCCTCACGTTTTACACATCCGCAGGCGCCCACGGGGCGGCCGCACCGGGTTCAGTTCTCCTTCGTCGGTCCTTGGCCTTTGATGTTCCTCTGTGCCTCCCCCTGGTGCCGTCTGCCACATAACGGTCCCCTCACATGCGTGGAATCGCCTTCCAGATAAAAATATCCTAATGAGTGCGAGCGCCCTGGGCTGCAGGATCAGTAAACAGCTCCCTGGGCCCGGGGCCCTGCCAGCACAGTCGGTGTCACACCACCGTTAATCTAAGCCATCCCCTCCGCGGCGAGGTCCCTTAAGGCCACAAAGGAGGCATTCCAAAAAAAGGATCCGTCTCCTTAGGCGGCGGCCTGTTTTCTCTCGTTTCAGAAACTACCATGAGCCGAAGCATTCCCGTGGAGGTTGATGAATCAGAGCCGTACCCAAGTTCGTTACTGAACCCCATCCCAGAGTATTCCCTGCAAGAGGGATCAGAACCCCTTGATCCCAACGTGAGGCACATGGCACCCAACGGCTCGTCTGCACCCCAAACCCCTCCCCGTTCCTCCGAAGACTTTTCTCAGGATCCCCCTCTCCTGCAGCTGGCAAACCACCGGCGGCCCGTGTCCCGGCACATGGCCTGCCTGCGCACCAAAGTCCTGGAGGAGAGCGAGGACAGCTTCTGGAGGAGACACGCGGACCCGGGCGGAGACCTGCGCTCGGACCCCTCCGCGGCCGGTGAAGCTGTGGTTGGTGCCGTCTCTCCAGAGCACCACCGGTTTTCGTTTAGGGAAAAGCGAAATCAATGGCTGGGATCTGCGCTCTCAGCAGCTTCTCCCGACACTGGCCACGGCTCAGGCAAGTCGGACCGACATTCACCCAATGCCTCAGCAGACTCCTCAGGCAGCAGCCAAGAGATGGTGCAGCGGCCCCGGCCCCACAGGCACCGAGCGGCCCCAGACCTGCCCACCATAGACACGGGGTACAATTCCCAGCCCCAGGACGTCCTGGGCATCAGGCAGCTGGAGAGGCCCCTGCCCCTCACTTCCATGTGCGACCCCCGGGACCTCCCCGGGCCTCTCCGGTCCAGGGAGTACCGTCCGTGTGAACCTCAGAGGCACCCGGCCTGTGCGCAGATGCTGCCTCCCCACCTTTCCCCGCGTGCTCCGTGGAACCATCAGCACCAGCGCCCGGGAGGGCCCGTTCACCAGGTGCCATGTAAGTGAGCTTTCCCTCCTCTGGACATTCTGGGCTGGGCCACAAAGTAAATGGGGATCCCAGGTCAGTGCCCCGTGACCACAGATCAGCAGACAGGTCGGGCAGGATGTAGGAGGGCATTTTGCTTCCCGTAGGGCTGTGTGTGTGTGTGGTGGGATATTCAAGAGGCTTTGAAAGAATGCTTTATCTTAGCCCAAAACCTGTCCCACTTGGAAGCGGCTTCTCTCGGTACCTTTTAGGACAGAAAAGATTTCTCTGTGCAGTTAATTTAACTGAAACCGGCCTAGAGGCAGGAGAGGAACTAATGGGCTTCTACAAAATGTACTTGTTGCCCTAATTCTTGGGCATCCGGATTCTTCCTTCTCTGCATGCTTCCTACCCATCTTAGATTTGGCAGAGAAAGGGGCCTTTAGTTAAAAACAAACAAACAAACAAACAAACAAAAAAACCCAGAATGTGCCAGAATGTCACTGAGACTCTGGATTCATGCCATTACATGGAGATCAAATTGCTCCTGTGATTCTGCTGCTTGAATCCCTTTGGTGGCCTGAGCCATCTGCCTCTGCCCTACCTTCTCGCCACACCCCAGGACACAGTCCCTGACCTGTCTGGCTGTTTCACATCCCAAGTATTTGCCTGTGCTCTTCGCTCTGTCCAGGATGTTCTTTCCCTTCTTGTGATGTGACCCAGCTCTATTCTTCTTCCTTTTCTTTCACAGCTTTATTCAGATCTAATTTACATACTGTGAGCTCACCTTTTAAAGTGTACAATTCAATGAATTGTAGTCTATTTACAGAGTTATATGACCATCACCATGTACATCTCTTAAGACTTCGCTCAAGTGTTCCCTCTGCAAACCTCCCTAGATCAGTCCCTCTTTCAGGCTCTCTGTTGCCTTTGTTTCTGCCTGTCAGGGCCCTAATAACCAGTCTCTCTCTCTCTCTCTCTCTCTCTCTCTCGCTCTCGCTCTCGCTCTCGCTCTCGCTCTTTCCAAAATGCAAGCTTTTTCACATCAATAAAGATGTATTTTCAGTCTATAATTCCCCAGCATTTAGCACAGTGACTAGCATATCCTAGATTCTCAATAAGTTATCTCTGAACAAGTGAATGAGTGAATAATATGTATCAGTGCAGTAAGCATCTCTGAAAGTGACAAAATGTCAGACTGAGATGGAAAGTTCATCAAAAGCCTTGGTATTAAATCTCCACCAAGGCCACTGGAAATAAAGATAGGGCTTAACGGATCAAACACGGGGCTCTGAGATACAATACTTTTCTTAGCAAATAAACACTGTACAAAAGGAGATTCCAGTGAAACAAGAAGAGGCTGTCCAAAGGCCTGGCACCTAGCTTTAAAGTAAATCGTAGCAGTAATTACAAATGCTGTAACCAATCCGAGTCCATGTATGATGCATGTACACTTAGTAAAGGTTCCTAGAGTGAATGGAACAATACAGCAATTAATGATATTTTTTAAAGGAAGGAAGTAGAGGAATTTGACTTAGGAGAAGCAGGTGAGTGTGAACAGGAGTTTCGGAATAAGGCCGGGAGATGTGAAAAGAGCAGGGCTTGAGGAGGAAGAGCCTCTGAGGCCTAAAACTGAGGCCCAGGGGGTTGGATGTTGGGAAGTCACCTGACCAGGAGCCTTGGCCACCACTGCCTACTCTGAGAGCCCAGTCATCGGATGAGTGTGGTGGCTGGGGTTCCTCAAGTAAGAGAAATTGACTTCGACAGGGTCAGGGTTGCATTTATTTCCCAGTGATTTCCAAGTTTAAAGGGAATACTTTGTGAGAATAATACCACAAACTACTTTTTAAAAAAACATTTATTATCTGCATGTAAAGATCATTTTTCTGATCATGACAGTAATATTTATTCACTCTCAAAATGGAAATAGGCCCGAAAATTTAGTTCATATCTCCATCACCCACATATAATTCCTCGCTGGGTTCTTTTGACATATTTACTTCCGTTTCTTTTTTCTTTGTTTACACATTCGATATAAACTCAAACTAGTTTCCATTGACATTTAGTGCACTACTTTTAACATCATTTTAAAATGCTGCGTAACATTTCATCAGCTGGCTCTACCAAATGGTTTTGTTCTCCATTGTTGGGCATTTTAAATAGCTTCCAGTTTTTTTATCCAGTAATCAGTGACACGACAAACATGATGTACGTTAAGTTGTTATATGCGTTTCTCGCAAATTCCTTAGTTTAATGTGTAGATGTGTGAATACATCGTCCAGGGCTTTGGGATACTAAGCCCCAAGCAGGTGCTTTTATCTACTAACCGGACATGATGATAGACAAAGAAAGCATTGATTTATTATCATATAAGGGTTCCAGAAAGATCTTCCTAGTTGAAAGCATTTTTCCTGTTGAAGCCTAAAGTGGCGCCATAAGCAATCCCGTCTTCGGAGGTGAGCATTGCCCGCTCTGCACAGGCTCTTTGAAAACACAGACCCTCCTGCCTGGGAACACTTTTAGCCTCCGGTACCTCGTGACCTGATTTCTTTCACAGTTCCCTTCCCTTTGCTTTCTGCATTATTTCTTCCTATTGAAGGGGAGGGAGGGAGGGGACCCTGAGGACCCTGGGGGTGAAGAGAGGTGATGAAAGGCAGAGAGGAGAGAATTTGGACAGGAAAGGGGAATAATTCACAGAAAATATACCAACGGCCGATGAGCATATGCAACCAAGCTTACCACTGCTAAGTTTAGGGAAAGTTTAAATGTGCAAAAATGTTACAGATACCTTTTCCTAATTAGGCGTACAAAATTCAAAAACCTCGACCACCATCCAGGGTTAGTGGGTTTTGGAGAAGGGAACACTCCCACCTGCTCTTGGTAGGAGTGTCATTGGTACAATGTTCCAGAAGGCAGTCCCGCGATTTAACAAAAGTTAAATGTGCTTCCTCTCGGGCCCAGCAGTCTCACCGTGGGAACCTACAGAAGCACTGAGCAAGCAGGTAAAAATGCATACTCAAGGCTGTTGCATGAGAGTAAAAATAAAAATGAAAATGCCTATCAATAAGGGGAATATGAGTAATCTGTGTCAAACATACAGTGGATTAGGAGGCTCCTATTACAGAGTAATAAACACATTCTGACATTAAAAAAAAAAAAGACTAAGTGGAAAAGCATGCAGTGTAGATTCTATACATGTTTTTTTGTTTGTTTGTTTGTTTGTTTTTTAACTGTATGTGTTTAAAAACTACATACTAAAAAATCTGGTCCCAGCCGTAAATAGTGATCATGGGAGAAGGGAATAGGGAATAACGAAGAGAGGGGGAGATTTCCCTTCCAACTTCATGTACTTTTGTTACATTTGTTATAGCAAGTGTTCCTTTTATAATGACCAATAAGTAAAAGAGAGAAAAGAGAAAAGTGAGGCGAAATGAGAGTGTGCAGACAGGCTCACCCTGATTCACCCGGCATAGGCCTTGAGTCATGGGGAAGAGGGTCAGGGTTAGGTCCTTTTTGTCAAGGATGCCCAGGGTGTAGGGTTTTTCCTTGGGGTAATGCAAACCCAGGATAGTTTATGGGACCCCCCAATAGCCAGGGCTTCCCGCCAGGTGGCTGTGAGGGTTACATGAGATGATGTATGAAAGATACTAGGAACGATGCTTATGGCAAAGCCCTGAATAACTAGCAGCTCAGTTACTGTTATTATTTAAATTAAAATCCTGCAGCACAGCTCTGCAGAGAGCCCCTCGACTTCCAGATCCCCTTTGCTGGCACAGATTTTAAGCATTCGAAGCATGTGTGCAATGCTTAGTTTCATGTTGGGCTGTAACTGCACTTAATTGCCAGCAAAACCACTTCAAAGGAACTGTTCACCTAAGGGATGCTTGTGCAGTCGGAAACCATGGCTACGTGGCTCTGTTCGGCTTTAGAAGAGCATTGCTTCCTCCTCCGTTAATGAAAATATAAATAAATAATGACTGCCACGCAAATGGCATATCTTAGCCTTTGCAAGTTAAAGCAAAAATGGCTACCGGTCTTCCCTTTTATGTTTAAAAGAAAAAAAAAAAGTTTTCAAAGCAAGTGGAGAAATGGAAGTAAGCCTCTCTCCACCCCTCCCCGCCCGTCTTTGGAGATGGCGGCCTGAGAATCCTTCCAGGGAAGGTCACCAGAATAGAGATCATGACTGTGCAATCACATGAAACCCATAATGCAAATAAAGTAGAAAAAAAGAGAATGTATTAAATCTAAAGAGGCTTTATTTTACTATAAAATTCTTGCTTTCCCTACCAAGGAGATTGAGTAAGATAAAACTGTGGACACATACCTACTATTGCTCATGTGGGCCCCCCAAAACGTGATGATTTTTGCATGTCAGAATGCACGCAGCCACAAAAGTAAGGAGAAGACAAACTGGATGGAAGAAATGATCACGAAAGGAGCTGTCCTCCAGGAGCCACAGCTGCTCGTAGCTGTGCGCGTTCCTGTGGCAGTTTATGTTGGCTCTTTTGCTTCCCGGCTAACCTGCATTATATCACGATGTTTTTGACAACTTGAAAATCAGATTTTGCTTTCTCCCTCAGAAACTCTTCTAATCCATGCTTAATAAGGAAGAAAAATGTGGAATGCTTTGTCTGATAAGCGGAAAACCTCATTAGTATTTGGCTTAAAAAGTCCAAGCGGTAGAAACCCAGGAAGGTGAAGACCGTGTGTCCTCAGACCAAGAGGGTCATACGATGGACAAATAACCCACCATTCTGGGCCCCCGTTTATGACTGTAGGGTTTGCAGCGTGTATTGTGATTAAGACTGCGTCAGGATCGAGGCGTTGCCATGCTAACAAATCATTTGTCTGTCACACCACCCACCACCTGCTATTCTTCATCTCCCACGGAATAAACTCTCTTGGTGAAATTTCAGACGGGGGAAGGAGAGGGGAGTTAGTGGGGGAGATATTTTGGGGCAGTAATTCTTAAGTCTACCATGTAGGTGGCTGCCAACTTGCACACCTCTCCTCACACACTAACAAGTGTGGGTTTGTGTTTCAAAACAGACACCTACAGACACACAGATTTTCTTTCTCGCGCTCTACTTGGTTTGAGCTACTTAAGGGAACTGTATCCCATTGTCTAGCCATAGAAGATCAATAAATATTTGTCAAATGAACGAAAAGAAACCTGCTCCCTACTTCCCGGGGAGAGGAGAGAGACCTCAGCATGAGAGAGCCCCTGTGACATCAAACCTTGATAAGGACATCTCTAATTGTCTCACGGGAGAGGGGCGGAATGGAGGGAGGTCCTTGGGATTTGGAATCAGAACTTGTCCATTCACTTATTAATTTATTCTACGAATATTTGCCAAGTACACCGCTAGGCACTGAGTGTACATGGGTAACTATAACACATGGGCTTGTCTTTCACAGTCTACTGGGCAGATAAATAGAAATCAGCAAATAAAGTAAGTGTCAGTGCTATGAAGGAAATAACCAGGTGTTAGGAGAGACGTTAATAGACAGGGTGGCCAGGAGGAGGATTTTTTTTTTTTTTTTTTTTTTTTTTTTTTTTTTGAGAAGGACACATTTGAGTTGAAACCTAAAGGATGAAAAGGTCAAGGAGTAGGAGCTTGCTAAGTACCCAAAGCAGGGCTGCAGTGGCGTGAGCAGGGAGAGACTTGATATGCTAGACAGTGATGGGTGCAAGGGCCATCGAAAAGAATTTGGATTTAATTCTAAGTTAAACTTCATTAGGAAAACAGAAAATTGAACTCTGTAATCCTGAACAGAGAACTTAGAACAGTGCTTGGCATGTTCTCAAGTACTCAATAAATGTTAGCCGTTGTTATGTATAGGGTACCCACCTAAACTAGTAAGCCTCCGTCAAAATAGTAAAGCAGTATTATCACAATTTGAGCAATGGAAGATATTCATCTGTCTACTAAGCACAGTTTTTATTTAGCAACTTTCCTACACAACCAGCCAAATGCCAGACAGAACCAAATTCCACTGACAAGAGAGAAAGCTTATATTTGCTGTTTCTCTCTGGTATTCATTATTTCTTTGTTTTAAATAATCAAAGGACAGCATGAAAGACTGTTCTGTCAGTACCCTAATTTAAAAACTAGATGAGGTGGATCATTTTGTCTGCTCACATGAACCAATTTAAGTTTCTACTGTAGGTGGCCATTTCAGAAATGAAAGTTACAGCTAATCAAACACTTAGACCACATGCCTTGGTGATTTTAATGATAAGATTTGTTGCTATGAGACAAAAACGTGTTGTGCGGGAAATAATCTGTTAGAGATCATATGACCTGGATTCAAAGGCTTTTGATTAACAGCACTAACATCCGCCTTCTGGAAAAGAAACAAGCCCTATGATTAGAGCTGGGTAGTCCTTTTAAAGCAAATAAAACATTATTAGCTACTTACTAATGGATAGTGGAAGCAAACATTATTTCAAATATTTAAAATGGTCAAGGCCACCAACAAAATTTCTTTTTCTTTTTAATGTTTTTATTGATTTCAGAGAGGAAAGGAGAGGAAGAGAGAAATAGAAACATCAATGATGAGAGAGAATCATTGATTGGCTGCCTCCTGCACACCCCACACTGGGGATTGAGCCCACAACCTAGGCATGTGCCCTGACTAGGGAATCAAATCATGACCTCCTGGTTCATAGGTCAATGCTCAACCACTAATCCACACCAGCCTGGCAATTTTTCTTCTTTTTACTTTGTCTTTCTTTTTTCAACTTTCAGACACACACACACACACACACACACACACACAAAAAAAAAAAAAAAAAAAAAAAGACAGCTAATGACAGTGAAATAGGTCAGTGGCCACCAACCTTTCAGATCTCATGGACCACCAGTAGTCTGCAGACCAATAGTTGGTGACTGCTGATCTAGATTACCCAAGACATAGCAAGCAGAGTGTAAATGGCTCCTCTTTGAGTGTGTGTGTGTGTGTGTGTGTGTGTGTGTGTGGAATTGGCTTTGTAACTGCTCAGTCTTCATTCCTTTATTGAGCATCCCTTTGTGCCTGCACTGTGCTTGGAGACTTGATGGCAAACTGACATAGGCCATGCTCTCACAGGATGCTAGGAGGGGAGGCAGACAAGAAGTTGACAACAATGCTTACTTACACAAACACATGCTAAGTGCTATGGAGAAAGTAAAATGGGTGGGAGTAGGGTAGGGCAACTGGGTGAAGGGGTGATATCTGAGCCTCTGAGCCCTGAATGACAAGAAGTTGATCTGTAAAGCTTTAAGGCAAAAACATTCTAGGCAGAGAGGATGCCAACTCAAGGACCCAAAGGTGGGGACAAGTTTGGGATGTTCAAGACGAAGAAAGATGGCCACAGTGGTAGTTGGGGCTTGGTGAGCGTGTGAGAGCAGCATAGCAGATACGACCAAGAAGGACGGGGATCGGATTGTGCGGGGTGGATTTTAAGTGCAGTGGGATCTCTGGACAGCCTGGTTGTACCTACAGCTGGTTTTGTAAATGGTCCATGCATGCCAGATTCATCTACAAGCAGGACTGGCTTCTGCCTGGTGACGTGCTGGCAGGAGTACTTTTTCTAGCTGGGGGGAGGGGCAGCAGTCATGACCTCCCTGTAGGCCTAAAATTCCAACTGGCCACCTGGACCCCTGGAATTTATCTGACCTGCCCCAGGGAAGCTGCAAAAGCAAATCCTGCATAATGTATCTTGTCCTAGAACACAGGGGTCTCTGTAGTCCCATGTCCCCATTCTTAGAGATGCCCTCAAATCATGGTCTCCTTTATCAGCTGGAGGCTGGGGTAGACCCTTTAATCCTCTTCCTGTTTCTTAAGCCCCTAATGTCATGACCAGTCCTAGTTGTAGGGCAAAGGTTACAGTCAGGGCCAGGAGTCAACCTGGGTTGGAGGAAAATACTCACTTTTGCCAGAGGATACATGGCAGGAAGGACCTGCTAGTGTCACAGGTCAACACAGACAATACAGTAGATTGAATCCGGAGAATCTGATGACGAGTGACTGGCTTGGGCACATTTCCAGGGCCACACAGGCAAGTTGCCTGCATCCAGACAAACAACGTGTAGCCACACTAGTGAACACACACGTTGTTTGTCTTCTTTTCTGTATGTGAGGACATTATTCCCCTGAGTGTTCCCCTGGAAACTTGAATGGCTTCTGACTACCTACTGACCTAAGAATCCGATCATTCGCCACATTCTCACCCTCTACATTCTGGGTCCAGTTTACCATGACTGTTACTTGATTGCTTGCTTGCAAATTTGATTTCACTTTACGTCCCTGCATGTATCCTACCTGCAGTGGGAAAACTCGATTATTACTTTTATTATCAGAAAATGAATAAAGATAAATATTCATCTATTCTGAGAAACAGGTTCTTTCTTGCCCTATCTAGCTATGCCTCCGACCTCTTACGACGGCAGAGGTGGCAATGCATAGCTCCTAGGAGGCGTTCGTGGTTAATTTTGCAGGGTTACCCACTTACCTCTCTCCAGTTCCCTCAGGGGTTGGGCCCACCCCTAAGGCACATCCTCACCTCTCAGATTTCCCACACGTGAGCCTGGGCAGTTCCCTCAGAGCTTTCCTCTCTCCCCTGTACTGGGTTCCCTGCGTCCCTCTTCTGGCCTTCCGTGCTCTTCTCCCACCCGGACAGGCTGCCTTCTTCCCTTGAGACTTGCTGCTTCTAGGCTTGGCTGGGACCACTTTCTCCTAGGTTACACATTCACACAAGTCACTGCCAGCCCTGCTGTGCTGAGCCCTGCCCTCTTCTAACCGCCCTGGCCTCAAGTGCACGTAGGCTTTAGCACGAAACGACCAAGAAAGTTGGGTAGTGTTGCCAACTGGTTGGCTTGCTTCCCAGAGGTCTGAGCCAAATTTTCATTCATTCATTTATTTCTTGGTAAGAGAAAGTGATGTGTGTGTGTGTGTGTGTGTGTGTGTGTCCACTTGGGGAAAGAAAAAGAAAGAAAAGTGGTTCTTTATCTATTATGGGGACAATTTCTCCTGGCTGTGAGTTCTAGAAAGTTGGGGAATTGTGATAGGAATGGTGATGGGGGGAGGTTTTTCATGCTTGGGTTACCCTAAGTAACTTATTAAAATGGGGGCCTGGGTGGCGCTTTGCATTTTCCAACTAGAGCACCAGACTCATGATTCCACAGATGTTTTTATTTTGGAAAGCAAAACCACAATGACTCAATTTAATGAAAACTATGAAGTAAATGATTGTGGAGAAATATGACAAAACATTACAGAGGTGGTAACTGATACCTGGGACCCTCAGTTGGTATCAAGACAAACATTTGCACTGAGCTTACCTCTCATTCACATGAAGGCGCTCAAGTCAGTCTTTCCTGTTCTCTTGGCTGTTTTCTCCTACAGATGGCCAGGACTATCCTCGAGTAGCCTACCATCAAGTGATCCAACCGGCTCTACCTGGGCAGCCCCTGCATGGAGGCCCCCACCCTGTGCAGAAGATCATCCTGAACTATCCCAGCCCCTGGGACCAAGAAGAGGGGCCTGCACAAAGAGATGCGTCCTCCCCAGGGCCCCTGAGATATCAGTGAGTATTACGGAACCAACGTGCAGATAGTTTTGAAATGAAAAAGCATGCTGTCAGTGCAACCAAGGGTATAAAACTCTGTCGGCTTACTAACCAGGTCAGCGGCCACCCCACCCAGTGGAACGCTGCACACAGGCTTTTCAGGTCAAAAGGAAGCGGAGGCTGGCTGACAAGAATCTCTTTATTAGACACACAAAGCCACGGACGACTGTTGAAAATTTTCTTGAAAAGGAAGGCTCCTAAGATGCTAAGTCACACTTGCTTCTTTTCCCTTCAGATCACCTGGCCTCTTCGCCCACGAAATGACGTTCAGTTTTACGATGACTGACTTCCACCTCTAGGAAGTTCTTTTTCACATCCCTAGTTTGTGTACCTGTGTAGCCCGTTTCTTACTTTGGAATTTTAAATTCAGTTAGTTCCCAATAGAAACGTAAACTAACCGATGATTTTCTTTTGTAACAAAAACAGTCGCACATGTTGAATGCCATGACTAGCTCTTTCCTGTATTTCTTCCAGAAAAAAATAATTCCAGTTGTCTAGTCCTTCAAATTGTTCTTCTCCCAGCTGTTCTCTTTGGACTCTTCTTCAAGCTTTCCTTTCCTCTTAATTTATGCATCTAAAATATATATATAGGAAAAACTCATGTAAATGGAGCTTCCTACTTTATGACAAAATTAGAGAATAATGAAATTTTGCTCTGCTCAGCACTTTTAAAAAAATATATTTTATTGATTTTTTTACAGAGAGGAAGGGAGAGGGATAGAGAATTAGAAACATCAATAAGAGAGAAACATCCATCAGCTGCCTCTTGCACACCTCCCACTGGAGATGTGCCCGAAACCAAGGTACATGCCCTTTACTGGAATTGAACCTGGGACCCTTGAGCCAAACCGGTTTCGGCATCAGCACAACTTTTATATACCACTCAGAGTAAAAGTATATTCTGCTTTGAAAACAAAATGAGATACGATGGCAGTTTTTATCAGAAATATAGAAATTAGTAATTATCTAAAAAAGTTTATTGAAAGAAAAAAAGCCCACCCTATTTATAATGACAGGTAAGGTATATGCCTGCTTTCCCCTTCACTCAAAAGCCCAGGAGCCTTTCTATTTTTTTTCCAGACTGATCCCTTATTGTTAAATACAAAATTACATGGAGTTCAAATAATAATTGTAAGGAAAATGTAAAATGTAGCTTTTAAAGCTACAAGCCCTCTGGCAGAAGAAATACCTAAAATTCTAAGGAAAACAAAATGTAAGCATCTTTATGAAACATATTTGGTGTTGATTAGGGGAAGAATAGTAATTTCTAAGATAAACATTTATTTTGAAATAATTTTAGATTTATAGAAGAATTGCAGATATAGCACAGAGTAATTGTTTTTGCAACATCATTCAATATAAGCCAGCTATGATCCCTTGGATTTATTTTATCATTTTAGGGCAGTGGTTTTCAACCAGTGTGCCGCAAGAGTTCTTAAAACGTGCACAATCTGACTAGTCAGGGGCACAGACTTCTTTTCCTTTATATTGTCAAATAAAACAACATCCACACCTGAAACTGGTTTGGCTCAGTGGATAAAGCGTCAGCCTGTGGACTGAAAGGTCCCAGGTTCGATTCCCGTCAAGGGCATGTACGTTGGTTGCAGGCACATCCCCAGTGGGGGATGTGCAGGAGGCAGCTGATTGATGATTCTCTTTCATCGATATTTCTGGCTCTCTGTCCTTCTCTCCTCCTCTCTGTAAAAAATCAATAAAATATTTTTTTTTAAAAAATCAACAGCCAACGCAATAATAGCTGTCCAGTATGAATGAATCAAAATTATACTTTTTTTTTGTCAGATCGCTGCAGAATGTTAGTAATTAGTTTATGTGTGCCCTGAGATGGAAAGGATGTAACATTGCTGTTCTCGGGTCATGGAACATAAGTCTAGGTAATGACGCTAATTCTCCTCTTCCTGATCATTTGAAAGAGAGCATTCATACAGAAAGTTTACTCTGTCATTATTCTTCATGATTTGTTTTTATATTGAAGTTTTTTAATATTATCAAGGCCTTAAGATTTCTTTATCAAATGAGCATTTTTTGTCTTTTATAACAACCAAACGACTTTGGGCATAAAGGAATTTAATGCAAAAAGGACATGGAATTAGATTCCCATTAGATGAAGGCATATTTTATAAGAATTTTTACTCTGGATAAATAAAAATAACTTCCTCAAATAGTCATATTTTAGAAATATAGTATAGTTTGGATTTTGTGTCATTTTCTTTAAAATTCTATTGCACAAGTCTCTTGCATATTTTACTCTTTTAGGTAAAAATATGAAAACAAGCAATAAGCCATATTAAAAAAAAATGGCATATACACATAGATTTTGTAATCAAAACAAAACATTTTTAAAAATATTTTTTATTGATTTTTATAGAGAGGAAGAGAGAGGGATAGAGAGTTAGAAACACCAATGAGAGAGAATCATCGATCAGCTGCCTCTTGCACACCCCTCACTGGGGATGTGCCCGCAATCAAGGTACATGCCCTTGACCGGAATCGAACCTGGGATCTTTCAGTCCGCAGGCCGATGCTCTATCCACTGAGCCAGACCGATTTTGGCAAAACAAAACATTTTTGAAATTATAAAATAATCTCAAGCACAAAATAAATAGAAACATATGTTGCCACTACCTTGATTTTTAAAATGTTAACATTTGAATCAGAACCTTTTTAAAGGGAAAAAACTTAGTTCCCTTATCAATTAGGATTCAGTTACAGAAAGCAGAAAACAACTCTAGCAGTTTTAAGCAGAAGGGCTTTAACTTGGGAACTGGGTGCTTACAACATTATTGGAGGTTGAAGGAGCAAACTTTAGGTTGGGCTTCCAGGAATGATCCCAGACCAACATCGCGGAGCAGGACACCAAAGAGGCTGCTTCCAGTGTTAGGGTCAGAGGCAGAGAATCAGAACATCACTGTGGAGCTCTCCATTCTTGGCCACCACACTGCACAGTACCATCCAGAACCAGATAGCTGCCAGCACTGCAACTACTGATGCCTTCAGTGCCTGCTAGGTCTGCACTGGCCAAAACCGGATGCCCATATCCTGATCTTGACACTGCGAAGCACAAACCATAGAAGTAGCAGAAGCACGGCCTGCATTTCCTCTGCTTCCAAACCTCACAGGAGTGTGTCTGATGGTTCTCAGCAGAATGTTGGTGGGAATATTGGCAACCAAAACCAAGTGGTAGAAACTTTCTGAAAAGATCTTCAGTATCAGATTTTCATCCCTATGTTAACAACATTAGTACTTTTAAAGCTACAAGGCCTTTTCTACTTTTTGATATGTGATCAGATGTTATCCATCATGAGTAGCTTGGTGCACGAAATTCGTGCACGGTGCGGGAGGGAGGGTGTGTGTCCCTCAGCCCAGCCTGCATCCTCTCCAATCTGGGACCCCTCAAGAGATGTCCGACTGCCCATTTAGGCCCGATCACACTTGGGCTTAAATAGGCAGTCGGTCGTCCTTCTCACAATCCAGGACTGCTGGCTCCCAACCGCTTGCCTGCCTGCCTGATTGCCCCTAACCTCGTTTGCCTGCCAGCCTGATCACCCCCTAAACACTCCCCTGCCAGCCTGATCCCTGCTTAACTGCTCTCCTGCAGGCCCAATTGCCCCTAACTGCCATCCCTACAAACATGATCACCCCCAAAATGCACTCTCCTGAAGGCCTGGTTGCCCCCAACTGCCCTCCCCTGCTGGCCCGGTCACCCCCAACTGCCCTCCCCTGCTGACCATCTTGTGGCAGCCATCTGTCCACATAGGGGTGGCCATCTTGTGTTTTGGAGTGATGTTCAATTTGCATATTACCTCTTCATTATATAGGATGAGCTAAAAGTTCTTTTTATCAGAATGCCTATAACACCAAACTTGCACCACCCATTATATTATATATTATTGGTGACCTTATCAGCCCTGTGCATGAGACTCATCTTCTCAATTAGACAGTCCTTGAATAGAGAAATCAAATTCTGCTCCCGTCATGTGACTCCTAGCACAGGCCCTTACATATGGCAACCTGCCCTATAGCTTATTGACCGAAACTCCATGAGAAACCCTTGTCCCTCTACCTCAGAAAAGAAATGGAAGCAGAGGAGAAAGATAGCTCACTGGTATCTTCCCACAGTTCTTAAAGCCTTCCTGTTCCTCAAGGTGCGCCTTCGTTGAAAATGAAAATTTTATTGTTGTCTATTCCTGTCCAGGGACCAGCCTTATAACCAGCCACCGAAACGAGCTGGAGCTGCTGAGGAGTCTTTGGAGTGTCCTGCCGAGTTGAGACCCCAGGGTCCCCAGGCTCCGTCTCCAGCTGCTGTCCCTAGACCCCCTAGTAATCCTCCAGCCAGAGGAACTCTGAAAATAAGCAATTTACCCGAAGAATTACGTAAGTTGTTTGCAATGGTTTCTCCTCATCATCATTATTCTCCCCCTCCTCCTTCTCATCTTGTCTTAAACTTTGAGAATACTTCATGATTATTCATCCATTATCTTGGCTATTTCTCAGGTAAATAAAATTTACTTTTTGCTAAAAAGGTAACCAACATTTTGTATGTATTTGTTTGATGATTTGCACACTACCAGTGATACAAAGTGCTTATCACTAGATTTTCTTAACCATACACTCCAACAACAAATAACCCCAATGCTTTTTCCCTCTTCCAAATGATGCTCTTGAGTGGACTTGTCCCTGGGTAAGTTGATGGGATGTCCACGTGGCATTGGCCAGGAACCTCGCTTCTCCCCATAAATTAGCAGCAGCCATCGAGAACGAGGCCGTTTCCTGCAGGAGTGAGCAGTCTTGTTGGGGAAAAGGCAGCCTCACATTCTCCATGCTGCCTGACAACCAAATGCAAACTAAGCCCTTTCTTAAAGAAATATTCGACTGCGTGTCAGGTGATCATTCTTTTTCCACATTTTGCAGTCAGAAACAAAAACGTTGAAATATCACCAAAATGTTCTCATACTAAGGTCAGTCAGGACAGCAAGTTCCACAAATCTTAGGAAAGCAGCCGCTCAGGTAAGACTGGGAAGTCGTGTCTAAATCTAGGCACTTCTTGGAACCAGGCCTGAAAATATAATAAGCCTTTTGCATTCACTAATTCCTATTGGGGAATCTATGCTCTTCAGTCCTTTAGGAGTTGAACAATCTTGAATACAATGATCCATTGTTGTTTTTCACTCAAAAAACATCTTAATCTCCTTAAAGCCTTACACACTATACTTTTGAGCATTTCTGGAGCATGGATGCTTCCCTGCACAGGATATAGGCCTGGCGTCAGTCTACAGCTCATATTTATTTTACCACAATCCGTAAAGAGAGTCTTAAAATTATTACATAGGAATTGGTTGAAGATTAAAAGACTCAGATTTTCTCTCCAGCTCCACCTTCTTCTCCACCCTCTGCCCCAGAGGCTTCCTGAGATAGAGCGGGTTCATTCCAGACTGGAAACCAACACAGAGAGATTGTTCATCTGTCATATTAACGTGCTAGCCAGATGATTTCCCCAAGGCGTGAGCCTGAGAAAACACTGGTTCTCACGCCGCCTGGGTCAAGTGTGTAGGCACAATACTGTCTGACGCCCTCGGCTGACCTAGGGAGGCACGAGGGAGGCCGAGAGCTGGACTGCCCAGAGGCAGTGACTCCTTCAAGCTACTGAGACGTTCCTAACATTTCTGAGTTGTGCTTTAGTCTACTCCAACCTCCTGGAGGAAGGAGGTTAGGGAACATTTTCCCTCTCCCCTCCCTTGCTCTTGTCAAGCAAGAGTTGAAGGCAGCAGAGAGCATCACGAGATCAAAGGAGGACACCACAGGGTGGCCCCTTAGCAAGACTCAGCTTCTTGGCCTGCTGTGAGGGTATTCCTCAGGCACAGGGCCACGTGTCTCTAAGAAACCAGGTGGTGCCCTGACTTTAAGGACGTGCAGGTTCTGAGGGGCGGATTTTCTGTGAATGCATCATGTGGTTTTTCAAAGACCTCCTCGGCGTGTCTCAGCCTGCCCGTGCTCTCCCCTGTGCCTCTGCTTTCCACGCACCCCGAGCAGTGTGCCCACCCTGGGACAGCCCCCTGCTCCTTGGGGCCTGCAGATTGATGTCCCGAGGACAGCAGTCCACACTGCACAGGCACAGACCCTGAGACCAACCCCCAGCCAGAGGTTTCCCTTTATTATCCTAGAAGAACAAAAGACATTGCATACTATATTTATATGTACTGTTCAAAATATACTTATTACTTGACTAGTTTCTAATAAATGTGAAAAATCTCTCTTAGGGAAAGTGTTTATCACTTATTCTGTGGACTCGGCCATGGAGGTGGTGAAATTCGTGAACTTTCTGCTGGTCAATGGCTTCCAAACTGCAGTAAGTATTGTATCCAAAGAGAAGAGTGAGCCATTAAAGCGAGCACAGGAAAAGAAAAACACAAAAGGAGACAAGTGATAAATAGCTGCCGATGTTTTAAATTAAATTATTTGATTTGCGTGACTATGAACTAAATGCCTATGAATTTTTAGCTAATTATTTTCTGGATTTTAAAGTCTCCAGCATGTTTTCCCTGCGAGAGCCTCCCAACAGCCCGAAGGGGGTTAATGCCGAGCCCAGACGCGGCTGACCCCTGGCCCGAAGGAAACACCAGCCTCCGGCTGCACTTTGTACCTTTGCCCTCTTTCGCCCGCTCTGGCGGTGCTTCCTGTGGCAGGAGGCTGCAGGCTTCCTCCGCTTACTTTACAAGGTCCTTTGTTGAGCTGGGGGTTTGAGACAGAAGCCTGCAGCCTAGGTCCCCCCCCCCCCCCACCACCACCACCACCACCGCCAATGTGCACAGCTGCCATCCACACCCCATGCAGCAGCGATGCTCCCACCGCAGGGCCAAGTTCTCAGCTGGTCTAGTTGAGGGAGGGAGACAGCCCAGCCCTGCGGTCTGCTGTGATCTTGGCCTGAGAAATTTCAGGCAGCATGGGCTCCTCACATCCCCCTGTAGCGCCTTGCCTCTGCCTCAAGCCGAGTACGCTTTCCTTGACAGTAAATAAAACATCCCAGGAGCCTGCGAGGAAGGCTGGCTTTCCTCAGACACCCAGGCCTGCTCTGGGTATTCAGTGACAGTGAACTCTAAGAGAGTGGCCAAAAATTAAGGGAAATGTCTAAGGATAGGAAGGTTGACGGATAAAGAGGGAATTCTTAGTAAATAAAGATGTCCATTTCAAAGATGATCGGACATCATTTAACAAGAGTTGTCACTTGAATTTCTTCTTTATCCTATGATTTTTTTATTTTTTAAAATATATTTTATTGATTTTGTACAGAAAGGAAGAGAGAGGGATAGAGAGTTAGAAACATCGATGAGAGAGAGTCATCGATCAGCTGCCTCTTGCACACCCCCTACTGGGGATATGCCCGCAACCAAGGTACATGCCCTTGACCGGAATCGAACCTGGGACCCTTCAGTCCCCAAGCCGACGCTCTATCCATTGAGCCAAACCGGTCTCGGCTATCCTATGATTTTTTTAAAAACAGAAGTGTTTGAAAGTTTAAAAGAGCATACAATGTATACACTCCAGCTCTATGACTATATTAGAGACCAGCATTTCCATTTCTAATTTCTGGAATAAGCAAGTGCTGTGGCGACCGTGACATAAAGTCAAGTTACAGGACATAAGGCCAACATGTAAAAAAAAAAAAAAAAAAAGATCTTTCTTACTTTTGGTCATTTCCAAATAAGCATACTGAACGCCCTGGGAGAAGAGGACAGGTTTTTGTGACCTAAACAACCAGGGGCTGCTGAGCAGAATTTAAATCTCCCCTTGACCTCACCTCTGCGAAGCCCTGTGGTAGAACCAGAGCCCAGCCCTGGCGGCTCAGTGCCAGGTGATACGCTAAGACCTCCTCAGTGGTGAGAAGACTTCATGGGTAATTTAAGGAGAGTTTTGTTTTTTTTTTTTAAAGAGACTGTTTTCAAAGCTCTGTGTAAATTTGGGGAATATCCTGGGACAAGCAAGAGCAGGGAGTTGCTACCACCCCTAGGTCTAAAGAGGCGAGGAGCAGTGGTTACAGCAACCTGAGAAAGGGTGGCTGTATCGGTTTGCCGGGGCTGCTTTAGGGAAAGTACCACAGCCTGGGAGGCTGAGACAACAGAAATTTACTTCCTCACAGTTCTGGAGGCTGGAAGTTCAAGCTCCGGGTGTCGGCAGGATTGATTTCATGCTGAGGCTTCTTCCTGGGCTGGTAGTGGCCATCTCCTTCTGTCTTTCCTCTGTGTCCTAGTCTCCTCCGGTAAGGACGCCAGTCATATTGGACCAGCGACCACCCATACGACCTCATTTACCTTAATTACCTCGTCAAAACCCCTGTCTCCAAACACATTCACACTGCGGGTTAAGACCTCAACATGATATGGGGGGAGAGGGGAGAGAGGGTATAATTTGGCCCACAACAGTGGCCATGTGGAGAAGTTGGCCTGACAGAGCTGTGGACTTTGGCAGAGATCTGGAGAGACAAATAGAAGCTAGCCAGTACATTGTGCCTCCTGGAATGTCCAGCTCACAGCAGGGAATAATTTACGGTAGGTGCTGGGATCATCATCATCAGGAGCCAAGTTGTCCGTCTATTCTCAGCCCTGGCATTATGGGGCTTCTGTCTGGTAGAACAGACATGGGTTACTGACGCAGTCACAGAGAGTTACAAAAGCTTTCTCAAGATTACTTGATGTAAATCATTGGACATCAGACATTTTAAAGCAGCAAATGGTCATTTTTAATGTGCCATCAGTAAAGAAACGTATTCTGAGCTCGCATTCTGTGCCATATGTATCTGCCAGTTTGGTGAACGTGAAGCATTATTTCGTTCTAGGAAGCTGGGGACCAGGTTGAGGAGATCAGGCAGACATAAATGAGGCATTTAGTAAATGAAAGGATGTTATCATACAATAACCTGCTGTGTCACAATGGGGTAGAATTTGGTGAAGTGAGGAGCAGGAGGAGGAAGTGGGTGTGTGGGGAGGACTCAGAGCAGGGGGCTGGCACTGTGTTTTTGGGTGCAGTGCCGGGGCAGCAATGGGGAGGAAAGTAGGCAGGGCATGTGAGGAGGAGAGAGGTGAGACTAGATCATAGATGCCATGGGCAGCTTGCTGACCCCATCAGTCCTAAATAGTGGAATGACATTTAAGACAACTGATCTGGGAGCAAGTGGTGTGGCCGAATCAACTAGCACCTCCTCAGGACGCTGTCCCTGAGTCACCCATTCCAGCACCTAATCCTCCTTGTGAGCAAGAGCGCCTTGTACACACTCACTGCCCTCTGGCTGCAGGACACGTCTGAGCCCAAGAATGGCCTTACATTCGGGCTTCAGGAAAACAGAAGACAACTGACTATTCTCCCCTTCCAGTACTCCTTCAGAGACTCCATGTCTTTTCAAAGCCCAAGAGGTCTACTTTTTAGTTTTCATCATTTTATATATATATATATATATATATATATATATATATATATATATATAGTGTATATATTTGTTTTGTATATTATTGGCTTACTTCCAACTTGTTGCCCATGTCTCTCAGGTTTTTAAAACATAATTATTGTGTAGGCAAAGACACATTTTGATGCATGCCTATCTATCCTAATTATGGCTATTAAATAGTTCAGTGCCTACTAATGTTGAAATAGGGACCGTTATTTTTAAATTGTATTTTCTTTAGCCTCCCTGCAGAAAGCATTAGTAACTTTTTCCATTTTAAATGCCTATGGTCTCGTGTTTCCTCTTGCTGTGCATCCAGATAAAGCTCCTCATTAAGAGCTGCTTCCCACATCTTTCCCCGCAGATTGACATTTTTGAGGACAGAATCCGCGGCATTGATATCATAAAGTGGATGGAACGCTACCTTAGAGATGTAAGTACATTTCAAAATCCCGAGTTTGTTTTCTAGTGAGAGAGACCATCAGCTTGTAAAGTTATTGTATGGGAGACGCTCTGGCACAGCCACCATGTCCAAAGCCAAGGGAGTCCCAACAAAGCCTCCCTGTTTGGCAGCCGCGCAGAGACCTGGAGAGGAAGGATGGGGTCGCCCTCCTGGGCAGGCTCAGGCAGGAAATAACAGTCCACCAGGCACAGGTGGTTGATAACCATCAGAACAAACAATTTTCTGACCGGCATAGGGAAGGGGGCAATGAAGGCGGGGGTGGGGAGGGAGCGGCAGAATTCCATTCACTCCCAAGACCACCCCACGTGTGGTGTAGGCCTGGGCTGAAGAGCATTCCGGGCACTTTGTGCTTCAACAAGATGGAAATTGATTGCTGCCAGCGTGTCCCTGTGGGCGCGTTAGCTGCTGCGTTGCGAGGGAGAGCGGGTGGGGAGGGTCTCAGCAGGCTGGGGGTTTGGGTTTTTCCTTTTGTGTGCAGCCTGGCGTCTGCTTTGTCCTCCTGCCACTGGCCCTGCCACCATCAGGGCAGTGAGGGCGCAGTCAGTGGCAGCTTTGATCGGCTGGGGGAGGCAGGGGTTGGGAGGGAGGGGGTTTCATCGTTGTGGCTGCAGCCTTTCCACCAAGATGCAGATCGCTTAGTGGTCCGGGCTTTCATTAGCCACGGATTAGTGACGGCTGTGGAAATGGTGGGCAGAGCCGCATCCATTTAGGAGAGCGCCACGCAGAGTGCGTGAAGGGAGTGGGGGGGGGGGTTTGAGGCAGAGGGGAGCAGGGGAGACGGCAGTCAGTCTGCCTGAGGGGGGCAGGGAGCAGTGCTTTCACTGAGAATGAGCCCAGCCCTCCACCCCCCACTGTGTGCCAGACCAGCACACAGCCCTGCTGGCCAGGCTCCAGCCCGCCTTCACCAAATGGACCGCACTTCACACTTCCGTAAACATGCCTTCTCCCTCTCATTAACAGAAGACAGTGATGATAATCGTAGCAATCAGCCCCAAATACAAACAGGATGTGGAAGGCGCCGAGTCGCAGCTGGACGAGGATGAGCACGGCTTACATACTAAGTACATCCACCGCATGGTGAGTGGCGGCGGCCGGCAGCCCCTCGCCGGTGCTAGGAAGGCCTGTCCCTCACCAGAGACCAAGCAAAGGCACTTGATGCCAGTGAAGGAGAATGGGGGGCTGCTACCTGTGAGGCCTTGGGCAGTTCAGCACACCTCTGAGACTCAGTGCCCTTGTCAGCAGCAAGGGCAGAGGAATCCATGACCTAAGAGTCTGGAAATAGAGCTCTGCTGGTTTGCTTGTTTACCGAGTGTGAAGGCCTAGGAGGGTCGGCAGGCAGGCCTGGGGAACAGGGCTCCCGGGTGGTGTCCTGTCCTGTCCCCGCCTTTTCCCAGAGGCAGAGCATCCTGGCGAAAAGGACTCGTGCCGTTGGTTCAGAATCAACTTCCTCACGTGTAGGCTGTGTGTCCCTGGGCCCACTGCGTAAACCTCTGAGTGCTCCGTGTTTCTGTGCTTCACAGCTCATGAACGACGGGGCCTGGTCAGACCAAAACGGGGGGAGACATCTGTAGGGAGTTAGACTTACTCAGCATCTGATGGAACGTTCTGGCAAAAACAATACCCAGCTTTAGAGCTGGCTGTTGTATGGGCTGGCAGTCTTCCTGCTTTCGGCAGTGAGACATACTGTACAGACAGTCACTTTTGACCAGGATGTCAGAGGCTCCCATCATCCCTACTGGGCGCTCGTATGTGCTGGGGGTGTGGTTGTTCTGGGCCTCTCACCCCTCCTCAGGCAAAGCTTGTCTGCCTTTCTCAGTCAGGCTTGTTTGCTGACCAAAGATTCTGAGGTTTAAAAAGGCTTGAAGGTCACTGGGCTAGAACCTGTAAGCCCCGTCTGAGCCCTAACATTCCCAGGGGGCAGGCACCTGGAACGGGCACGGACGAGGCCAGGAGGATAGGCGGGAAGCAGAGTGGTCCCGATGAAGGGGGTGAGCAGCACAAGGCAGGAGGCAGGCAGGCAGGCCGGCCGGCCGGGGCCTTGCAGCTTTACCTCTGGGGACGCTGACTTAAACCAGGTCTGTCCTGTGGGTCAGGAGCACGGGAAAAAGGCAGGGGAGGTGGGTGCTCCCTCCTGGGTGTTCAGGGTCTCTATCTCCTCTTCTGCCAAGTGCCAGCCACTTATGTGAGCTCAGAGCCAACCCAAAGTGAACGCCAAGCTGAAAACCGGTTTGGCTCAGTGGATAGAGCATCAGCCTGAGGACTGAAAGGTCCCAGGTTCGATTCCGGTCAAGGGCATGTACCTTGGTTGCGGGCACATTCCCAGTAGGGGGTGTGCAAGAGGCAGCTTATTGATGTATCTCTCTCATCGATGTTTCTAACTCTCTATCCCTCTCTCTTCCTCTCTGGAAAAAATCAATAAAATATATATTTAAAAAAAAAAAAGTGAACGCCAAGGCAAGGTGGTGCGGCCACAGAGTACGGCCGAGGAGGCAGGGGACCCGTCTCCCTCCTGTTCCGCTCTCTCCGGGTCCGACAGCCCGCGGGCAGGGCCCAGAGAAGGATCGTTTCTGCCCTGAAAGGTCACGGCTGGCCTGGGAGCTGCCCCCCTGAGGCTGTGACCTGGGAGCACTCAGCCTCCTGTCTGCATGTCTAGGAACCGCAGTCCCGAGTGGACAGCTGGCGTGTGGGCAGGGCTCCAGGTCCCGCCAGGTCCTGAGGAAACCTGTGGAGCTCTGCGGGAGCGTGGCAGTGCAGGGCAGGGACCCGGCTCGGCCCGGAGCTGGACTGACTGTGCCCGGCTGGGAGCCAGATTATCTCACGCTCAGCGTCCTGGGGCAACCATGTCCTAAGCCCTCCCTCATCAAAGAAGGGGCTGAAGAGGCCAGAGGCAGACGTGCCTTCTGCCCGCCTGGCAGCCTTCCTGGTCCCCTCCAGGCAGCAGCAGACTGGTGGACAGAGGGCGTGAAGAGGTGCCCGGAGGGGCTGAGTCCTAGAGCCAGGACTGCACACAAAGCCAGTATCTGGAAATATGGGCGAAAAACACGCACTCCGGCCGGGGGCCCCTGCACAGGCGGAGCAGGTAGTGAACAAGTTTGTAGTGTCCAGTGTCCTGGAAGTCAGAAACTGCTTCCAGTGCTTAGCTTTTACCTAGTAAACCAGTGTTTCCCAAAGTGTGGTACGCGTACCCCCAGGGGTACGGGAAGAGTTTGGTGGGGGTACGCGTTGCACCGGAGTTTGGAGGGGATATGCACTGCATGCACCGTGCTTAGCTGCGCCTAATTCTACGTTCTCATGAGTACGAGGGGTACTCAGCATTATGAAAATTATAGAAGGGGTACACATATGTCAAAAGTTTGGGAAACAAAATGGGTAATAAAACCATGCCCTTCCTCTCACGTGTTGGCACTGATGTGGCTGGTGCTTTGAGTGGCACAACGCTTTCATCACTTTAAAACATGCTTTTGGTGTGTCTGACTCTCAAGGGGAGGCGGTTCTGAGAAAACGCCTTGTGGATGATCTGTGTGTTGTACGACTGGGCGTGTATGCAAATAAGCGTGAGTGTGGGCGGGTGTGCAAACATTTAGGAGGGCTTTCTTTGGTCAATTCAGTAACAAGTCATCACCACTGGCACGTCCCTCTTGGTTCTGTTTTTATTCCATGCACGACCAAGACTCCTCGTAATAAAAATCAATTGGAAGATGAAATAGTTGGGAAGCATAATTCCTCTTCTTGTCACCAGAAGCCCACGTACCTGGTGCTGGTCACAGGATTTGGAAGACTCTGTCTCCTCTCAGATTGAAAATTCCAGTTTTGACGGAGCTCTGGCAGCTACAGCTCCTGGGGCCACTGCAGTGTCAGAGCAAATGGGAACTGGTGTGGGAAGCCGAGGGCTTGGAAGTCAGACCTCTTCACAGCTGACCCCCCCGGCCTGCCTTCCTCCTCCTCCAAGTCCGTCCTGTGCTCTAGCTGCAGGGCACTGCCTGCTGTTCCCAACCAACTGACTACTGGCACACTCGGGGCATTCACTCAGGCCCTTTTCTGTGCTGAGAACGTCCTTCCCCTGTCCGTGTGCCTGACCACATTCTTCTTCCAGCATCCAAATGACACCTCCCTTGTGAATGTCCTTGTAACTGATGTAGAATGGATGGGCCCCATCTGGGGCTTCCACAGCCGTTTTTTCACACTGCACTGTGGTTGGTAATGTACCTTTCTGACTGCTCACAAAACTGCTGGCTTTGTGCGGATAGGGTTTGTTTGTATCCGTGGTATTCTGGTAAACCGGTTCACCCTTATCCCCCTTCCCCCAAAACCCTGGTTCATAGCATCTTTCCATTTCTGTGGTATACCTGCTCTCACGATGGCCAATTTCAGGCTACCGATGTGAAGTCACCGGACACAGAACTGGGAAGAGGCACACATCTGGCTTTTGCGAGCTGACGCCACCCAGCTCAGCAGACCCTAATCTTAATCCCAATCCTTAAAACACCAAGTCCAGCACAGAGCGTGGCATTGATTAGGCCTTCAATAAGTGATGGGTGGATGAGTAGATGGCATAGATGTGTAATGGGGAGAGCTTCAAATTGTAAGGGTGAGGCACTCAAGGAAATCAGAATAAAGGCACTGAGTGGGCTCGCATGACTATGGGTACCGTACATTAACTCCTCATCCTTGTTCCTGACATGAAACCTTGAATTTGTTCTGTTCCAGATGCAGATCGAGTTCATAAAACAAGGAAGTATGAATTTCAGATTCATCCCTGTGCTCTTCCCAAATGCTAAGAAGGTAAACAACAAACAAACAAAAGAAAGCTCTCAGAATTCAAACTTTGCTTTATTTGCTATCTGGGATTTTAAGTGGAAAAACCTAGTCAACCCTCTAACTCCTTAGAGAGAACAGTGTGAGAAAGATCAGCAAGTCGCCCCACACAGTTCAGCCCCAGTTCAGCGGCATGAATAGAGTGTTATCTGATAGACCATCTCTGTCCTAATTGTTCCAGCAGCTATTACACACAAAGAGGTAGTTTGTGTTTTAACTCATGAGCCAAAAAGAGACTGTTCATCTGATACTTCTTATCTCTTGTATAATACATAAAAGTCAAGATGTGTACTTCTTAGCTGGCTGTTCCTCAGAAGTATTTTGCGGCACATAGTTCAGCTCTCAGAGCTGTAGAATACAGGAGTTGAATCTGCACAGTCATCAAAGTGAACTTTGCTGTGGTTCATGGGAGGGTTTCTGCACCAGAAGGGCTGGCCAGCAGGTTTTGGGGGAGGGGGGCAAAAACATGCCTGAGGCCATGCCTGGGCACAGGGAAGGCAGGGAGGTAGGAAAGTCTTCAAAGTGAGACTGCTGCGCCCTGAGCTCAGGCCCAGCTGCACCCTGGAGGACTCCTAGATGCCAGGGCTGCATGGAGACTTCCGAGTGAGGGAGGGTCCGGTTTGTGTGACTGGGAGCCCAGGGCTGCACAGTTCACAGCCCGCACAATAAATAGCCTGCTTTTCCGCCCCTTGCCCAGGCTCTCACTGCTCGCACTGCAAGGTCTCCTTGCTGTTCTCCCTGTCTCTCTACTTGGGCCCTGTATTAGCTCTGCCGTCAGAGAGGGACATCCAGAATGAAGATCTGATCTCTCTCCAGCACAGAAATTCATAGTGGTTTCCTGCAGACTACAAGATCATCTCCACCTTTCTTAGCACGACGTGCAAGGCCCCTTCGACACGCCTGTGCCCACATGCTCAGCCTTCCCGGTCACCACGTGCAGATGATTCTGTGCTTGGGTCAAACCGGACTCTTTCAGCATGCCCTCACACGCACATATGCTTTCGTTTTCTGTGCCTTTGCACTTTCTGTTCCCTCTACCGGCAGTGCCCTTCCCTGACTTGTCTGTCTGGTGAACTCTTGTCTGTCTGGTGAACTCACGTTACCCAGTCTCTAGCCTCTCCTGATCCCTCTCCCCCTGTGCTGACCTTGATGCAGTGGTGTGTGGCTGGGGCAAAAGCACTGGGAGTAATTGTTTGGAATTACTGGAGCAGGCTGATAGAAAAAGCTGACCAACTTTCAGCTGGTTTTATTCACGTTTTTAAAACTTCTTCAAACAATCTCTCAGGGCAGATTGCTTCCACCGCCTGGCCCCTGGGCATGCCATTGCCTAGAAAACAGCTTCTTTTTCTTTATACTTTGACTCCCTCATACGACTAACAACTCTTCAAGGCAGTCCCTGTGTCTTTTTCACTTGGGGGTCATCCGTACCCAGCATGATGCCTGACACACGCAGGTGCTGCTTCTAAGCTCATCCTGCAGTCCCCACAGGCCTGCCATCTGCTCAGAGAGAAAAACAACAACCTGCAAGGCTCTCTGGGACACGGCCCCTCACCTTCTCTCTCTCGCTCTTCTCCAGCCACACTGAGTGGCTCCTTGCACCAGCCAGGGGCACTCCTCTGTCCGCCTGGACTCGGGTCTCTGTAAAGTTTGCTCCCTCTGCTCTTTTCTTTTCTTTTCTTTCTTTCTTTTTTTTTTAAAAAAATATATTTTATTGATTTTTTTACAGAGAGGAAGGGAGAGGGATAGAGAGCTAGGAACATCGATGAGAGAGAAACATCGACCAGCTGCCTTCTGCACACCCCCCACCGGGGATGTGCCCGCAACCAAGGTTCATGCCCTTGACCGGAATCGAACCCGGGACCTTCCAGCCCGCAGGCCGATGCTCTATCCACTGAGCCAAACCGGTTTCGGCCCTCTGCTCTTTTCTAAACCCCCGGTTTAAAACTGCAAACCACTCTTCCTGGCCCAGCACTGCCTATCCCCTTCCTCTGTTTTATTTCTCTCTACAGCATGTATCCCCATCGAGCACACTAGATGTTTCTACGTATTCGATATGTCTTTCCCCAGCAGAACGCCCACTTCATGAGGGTAGTCTGAAATTGCACCCCACCCTCCCCGGCTCGCGGTTTGTGCCTTTGCCTGCTCGCGGAGGTCTGCTGGGCTCCTTGGATGGCAGGCGAGGCCTGTGGCCGGAGTGAAAGGATAATGGATTAGATTAAGCCTTGGCATACTTCTTACAGAATCACCGGGGAATTCGCATCACTCTGCATGACCTCGGTCCTACCCCTTTCATGTGAGGGTGGTGAAAAGCACATTGCAATGCAGAGGGCAGGTAGCCTGGAGACTGACAGAAAATGCTGCGCACATGTGGTTTCCATAATGAGATATACAGCTTGCACCCGAAGCCAAGACCACGTCACATGCTAACCCCTTCCAAAAGCAAAACACTGCAGCCCCCAGGATGGTTTGGTAGAGAATGCTCCAGAGGGAAGAGCCGTAGCTATCTGGGAACCAAGCCGGGGATCTGGAATCCAGGTTTTTCTCTAACGGCCTTTGCTCCTGTCATTCTCTCCATAGGAGCATGTGCCCACCTGGCTACAGAACACTCACGTCTACAGCTGGCCCAAGAATAAGAAAAACATCCTGCTGCGGCTGCTCAGAGAGGAAGAGTACGTGGCTCCCCCGAGGGGGCCTCTGCCCACGCTGCAGGTGGTACCCTTGTGACACCCCAGCCCAGGCTCCCCGGGGCCAGGCCACATCTGGACGTGGTTCTGGCTGGCACTCTTCTAGCTGAGGCCGGCTGGCAGCATTCACAGCTGTTTGTTTTCAGTCCCTTCCCCAGGGGCTCTCCGACCTCAGAAAACCTGTTCTGCAGCCTATTCTTCCCCCTGAAACCCCTACAGACCCTGTCTTTGGAATGGAAGGAGGCTGGCTGCTCTGCACTCCCTGCTTCTTCTCCCCACTGCCTGTTCCTCCGAACAGTCTGACTTGTCCCTTCTGGGCCTCTCACTGCTTAGCAAGGAGATCATAGAAGTGACCACAAGCAAATGACCACAGACACCCTCCCATTGCTTATGGCTACTTTTATGGGTAAGCCAGATGGTTGTGTGGCCTCGGACCAAAAGAATTCATGTACAAATAATAAAGCGTTTACTCTTTTGTAACACTGTGTTTTCTTTACCTCCAAGAAGATAAATATATTAACTTATAATAATATGGGCAGCTGCTTCCAGGAACATCAATAAAGCTTCTTAGATATAATATTAGACAGATGTAACAGACTACTTTATATTAAAAGATTCAAGCCAGATAAACAATGCCTTTAACATAGTATTCTGAAAACTTTATTCTTGCCATAGAACTTTTAAACAAAACAAAACAACGTTATACTACACAGGACCATGATTCTAATAGAATCATAGTTCTTAGGGTCTTAATATGTATGTAAAAATATTTGTGTGTTATATGAAGTGAGAGGGGATGTACAGTGCAAGCTAGAATTGGGGTTTGGGAGACGTGTTCCAATCTCGGTGCTATCACGAACTAGCTGTGTGACCTTAAGCAAGTCCTTTCACTTTTCTGAAACTCTGGGGACTCGTTTATAAAGTGACATGGACAAAACAGTATCTCTAATGACCCTAAAAGGTTTAAAGTCTAGGACCTAAATTCTAAATACTCTGTTCAGAAATAACTAAGTTTTCATTTTCATAATCATATCTCCCAGGGGGTGAAATTACATGTTCTTAACAGAGACATTTTCTTATTTTTCTTCAACAATATCCTCACATTCATAATTTTAGTCAAAAATATATATATTGTTCCTTTTGTCTACAAAAAATGAATAAACAAAATATATGTTCTATATATCAATAGAACAAGGTGGAATGACTTTAATAATGGCCCAAGATGAATAATCCAATATGTAGACTTTTCAGCTATTTCTTCCCTTATCTGTCTGCCTAACTTCTTAAACTATGAGATAGTTCAACCTTATGTGTCACCATAGCAAAAACAATACTTATCAACTATAAATAAGGAACTTTGCTAATGAAATGCAAAAAACACTACTAGTTTTATTTACATTATAACCTTGATGTCTACTGAGTAAGATTAATGTCTTTATGTTTGTGGGGTTTTTTAAAGGATAAGAAAAGCTAGCATACCTTAAATATTCATTTGTAAGATTCAATGACAAATACCTTCAGCTTCAAAGCATTTGAGACCTAGTAGAGCTGACTTACTTGGTTTGGGGTGTTTTTGTTTCACTTTGTTTTAAATATGTTTTTTATTGATTTTAGGGAGGAGAGAGAGAAACATTGATAGGTTGCCTCAGGAATCCAACCAACTGCTTTTTGGTGCACGTGACAATGCTCAACCAACTGAGCCATACCGGCCAGGTGACTTACTTGTTTGATTAACTCCAAATATGTAAAACACCCAGCCATAATCTTCAAGTCTTCTTTCTCTTTGCTATCTTTGTTTTTTTGCCCAGGCGGGGTAGCATCCTGAAGGATTATACATAGTTATAAATACTAGTAGAATGGCATCAGCAATTAGTACTCTGAAATGTTTCTAGTTAGCAAAGTTTAATGATGTGATGTTATTAGTCCTTCCTCCCTTCAGAGACCAGTCCTGAGTGCTCAGCCACTACTCCTACCCCAGGTGAATGAAGAGGGAAGGTCCCTGGTGTTCCACAAATAGTCATTAAATTGTCGCAGCTGGTTGCACTGGAAGCAAAAAAAGAAAAAACAAAAAGCATGCGCGCGCGCGCGCGCGCGCGCGCGCGCGCGCACACACACACACACACACACACACACACACACACACACACAACACCTGGCCAAGTGACAAAAGTTTGATCCCTGCAGTTTCTATACAGTCTGATGACCACAAACATCAAAGGAATTTTAACCACAATTTTCGAGCACTGGCACTAAGATTAACACTTGATTTGTTTAGACATTACCCTGGTCCTTTTGCATTCATCTGTAGACATTTGGGGGGTCGAGATGGGTTATGGCTGACTCTGTAAAAATAATCCCTTAGCTTTATTCAGACCTACACTGACGTTAGGGATGAGGTGTGCAGAATGAAAAGTTTGGTTCTTATCTAATATTGACTAACAAAATTTAAAATGTGATTTTTAATTTCAGTGACTGATTTCAAAATGTCTGTCTGTTTAATTTAACTTCTACGTTGTTCAAAGACATCTCGGTTCACGGTGACACAATCAGACTAGCTATTTCTCAGCTCAGTGCTCAGAAAAAAATTACTATAGTGGCTAAACATTTCCTTTTTTCCTATTAAACAAATCTCTGTTTTGAACATTTCAGACATTGTTTCATGATGCCTTGCCAAGCATTCTTCTTAACCTAAGCTATTCCATCAACCACCTCATCCGCTTTGCCACACACCCCATTGTCACCATCACCTTTGCCTGTGGATTACAAAGTCCTATGATCATTGGGAAATGATCCAGAAAGAGTCTCTCAAAACACAGGATCTTTCTGTTTCTTCTTAATGAGCCAAGAAGAATCAGTGAGACCTACCTCCTAGGGGCAACTGAAAGGACGAGAAAGGTTAGAGTGTGGGAAAATTTCACAAAATAGAAATGCTGCTCATCCTGAAGAATTATGCACTATATTTCAAGATAACTGGCTCTCTAGGGACCCACTGACCAAATTAACGAAAGCCCAGGCAGGAAGAAAGAAAACGCCAAAGTCACAGAGATCTGAAAGGCCAGAGCAGCATAGGAACTAAAGACACTTGTCACTCACACGTAAGTGGACAGAGGCGGAATCCACCAAACACCATAAATAGCCAAAGTAATGAGGCAGCTCAGGAAGAAAATAAAAAATCTCCGGAAAATAAACTTTTAAAGACATGAAAATGTGTGATTTGAATGACAGAATTCAAGATGGCAGTTCTGAAAAAAAAACAAAACAAAAAACCTACAATACAAGAAAGAGGCAGTTGGATGAACTCAGAAATAAAAACCAGTGAACAAAACGAGTACTTGCTCAAGATATTGAAACTTGAAAAACAAACCAAATAGACATTTTGGAGATGAAGAACTCAATAAAAGAGATAAAGAATGAACTTTTGAGGGGGAGTGGGGGGGAGAAAGAAAGCACCAAAATCAGTTTAAGTCTCATATTTATTTCTGTCATAAAATTTTCAGACTTTAGAAAACCTGCACCGCTGCCATTTTGTTTTCTGTGTGAGAAAACTGGGGCCCTCAGAAACCGTGGCTTGTCTAAGTCAATAGAACCTAGACAGCCTGGTTTCCAGGCTGCAGACGTTTGCTTGGTGAACGTAGAGAGCTTTCTGGTGTTTGACGGCGGGTTTGTCCAACAGCAGACCCAGTCCTCCCGGAGCACTCCCAGTCCTCAACGGCGCCTCCGGAGCGAGGGAGGCCTGAGGGAAGATGCACCTCTGTCCTCTGGTGGCTGGAGAATTCAACTTGTTCTGTGGGGAATTCTTCGGGGAATTAATTATTGCTCCGATTACAATGTGTGGGACTTTCCTTGAGGTAGCGTGGCACATTTATTTTATACTGGTATTATACGAAACCAAGGCACAATTAAAAAGACCTTGACGCCTTCCCGAAGCTTACAGACAAAACCCACTACCAGTCAGGCCAATTTCTTTTCGTTTTATCTGGCCAGTCCCCAAAACAAAAACATTGAAAAAGGTTTTTACTTTGAAATCTGCTCTATTCATCTTGTTGGAACAGTACAGAGCTGTTTGGAACAGCTGCACTCCCTCCAGGTGAAGAAATGAGAAATGGAGGGTCATGCAACCTCTCCATTGGGTGGGGGAGCGGCCGGAGGCCCGTCCACAGCACAAAGGAGCCTAGTTCGGTCAATGCAGCTGGCACTCAGGGTGGCTTGTGCCCAGGCAGGAGAGCATGTTTCTAACGTCATACGTTCCTGTTCCATTTTCTGTGGGGAAAAGCTTTCAGATAGAAACACATGTCCCTCGGTGGGAGGCTTCCCCAGACCCTGGGCAGCCACCTGCTGCCAGCTCACCCACGTGTCCACAGCCCCTCCATCTGTGATTGTGCACTTGCCCCCAAATTCTTAGTCTCCAGCCACGCAGGCTGTAAGGGGAACACACAGTGTAGTGTGTTCTCTATTTAACTTTGAAGGAGTGTATGCATATGGGTCTAGGGCACACCTCCCCCCACATCCCCCTCCCACCTCTTCCCACTCCGTGTTTAAGGAAGTGATATTTGAACCTTTGGCTAAACAATGGAAGTCTTGGAGCAAAGTGTATCTGGGCAAATGTGACCGCGTTCTGAGCCAGCCTGCTGTTTCTTAGACACATGCGTATGGAAGAATAACCGCAGCCCCCAGATCCCCCAGATCTTGCAAACGAAAACCTTAAGGACACACGTTTCTTGTCCCTTGCCTGACCTCTCTTCGCTCCCTTCACCAGGAAGGCTCTGATGGCAGCTGGGGAGATGGAGGAGCGGGACGGAAGGCGGGAGGGAGGGAGAGAGAGAACTCATGCCTGATGGATCCCATTAGGCTTAGTGTGCAAAGCAAGTTGAGATGAAGTAGCTGCTCTGGTATGCATCCAAAACTGCTGTTCTATTTTTAGCTTCCCCCACGTGCTTCTTAGCCCCACATTGTCCGCCTGGGCACCTGGATCTGCAGCAAAACGTGGAACTGAGCCGCTCATTTGAACGTCTGGGAGGAAGGAGGCCATTGATGCAGGGCTTGTTTATCGCTGACAGGGAAGGGGGGCCTGGAATGTTAATGAGGACGGCTCTGTGAAGCATGCCTCCGCCGTTAGCTTGGAGTTCAAAGGAGGAGGCAGCCTCAGTCCTGCACCGAACAAATGGGAGCCGTTGATAGAGGGAAGGAGAAATCAATTATGCTGTCGCAGGCTTCCATGTCATTGTGCTGGAGTTGTTAGAAAAGGTAGGACAAGGACCAGATCTCCAAAGGAAACAAAGCCACATGGCCTTGAAGTACAACGAGTTTGCCATGGCAACTGATGGAAATGAGCCTCCCGGGCACTGAGCAGGTGTGTTATCTTACAGAATAAACACGCTGCTCTCACTCCCCAGTATTTATAATAAAACCTGTGTTTGGATTACTTTCCCCTCCTCTTTGTTACCCGGAGAAGTTGGCTGTTGCTCAATCAGCCCAAGGCT